ATGGCAGTCATTATGTGCAGCTTGCAGCTCATAAAATTAAAGGAATATTTTGACATTTTGGGAAATGTTTCTTAAGATTCCTAGAGGTGTGAAGGTCATCGAATCTTCTAACTTCACTGGTTATACTGAGTCATCCCTGTAACGGACTCAATCAGGGGCTTTTCTCAGCAGTGTATCGTGGTTCAATCCGTATGTAGAGATAAGGAAGGTAATAATACAGTTCAATATTGTTCTCTATTGAATATTTCTGTTTTTAGAAGCCATTAACAAACACAATTTTTCACAGACTATCGTAGGTTAAACAATAGAAAGGTGCAGATGTTTTTAGACATGATCACAGCTAAAAGTTGGTAAATCTGGAAGATATGAAATATTTGTATGCTCCCAAAGTAATCACTGTTCAGATTTATGGCTTCAGTTTGTAATACCAAGTGCTCCAGTCAAGACTTCTGATGTATGTGAAGTTCACTGACAATTAGGTGCAGTCCCTTAATGAGCTTGAATAAAAAGTGGACAAACTACAAGGGACTGCTAATCCAAATTGAACTATAGAGGAAGAATAGAATCAGCAGTCATTCTTAATTTCCACCACTATGTTAAATATTTACAGCCAGCAGGAGAAAGACTGGAAACAGTTTGTTTAGCTAAGCTCAAGTAAACTAAGCTGACCAAACTGTTGGCATTAGCTTGGTATAAAGAGGCGAAGTCCTTCCCCTTCCTGTGGACAATCATGGGACCTTGTTTCAGGAAAAATATGTACGGTAGTTGACAGAGAGAGACAAATAATGTCTTGATCTTGCTTGAATTGTGTCATGAAAGCACATACGATGTTCGTCAATTTAAAAGTTAATTTTACAAGTCAAGAAAGGCGCAGTTTGGAGCGCCAAATGGATCACCTGGTCGAGCACGCATCCCATGTACAAAGGCTACGTCCTTGTCACGGTGGCCGCAGATTTGATTCCGACCTACAGCCCTTCACACTTTCACTGTCCTGTCAAATAAAGGCCAAAAAGTAAAAAAAAAAAAAAAATCTAAAAAAATAAAAATAAAATAAAGTCGCAGTCTGTCGTAAATCTGTTGAAAAGACTGAAAATGCGTAATTAGAACAACTTTACTAGTCACATAAATGACGTCATAGCTTTCTCTCTAGCGAAAGCTACGATGCCTGTGTTTCATAGTTGCTGATTAGAACACAACAGGTTCGATAACGTTACATCTGTTGATGGGACATAGCTAAGTTAGCTCGCTAACTAGCTAGTGTTGGTGACGTATGTCTTGCGGGACTAGTGATGTCGTTCACTGAACAGTTTCAAACACAACTAAACAGTACTGCAATGAACTGTGGCTTTCTTGACTTGTGGAGTTGTGTTTTAAATTGACAAACATAATATGTTTAATGCATGACATGATTTAAACAGGTTTTAGATCTCATTCGTCTCTCATTGTTGGCTACCATTTTCCAGAATAAGGTCGACTGGGGGACACTGGAAAGGAAGGTACTGCCTCTAATGTAGCACACAGACATGAGAGTGGTATCAGACGTCTCATCCAGTTTCCCACAATGTCGCACAATTCCTTTAAGATCTGCTCCAAAGTGCCTTACAGTAATATGAGTGCACACTTTTTCTCTTCCACATAATTTGAATCAATCTCTGCCTTTCTCTACTCTCTTCAAAAAGTTATGTCACAAAGGACAAACTAAATGTCAAAAACACTGATGTTGCCACTTCAGTCCACCATGACCATCTCTGCTCTGTATGAAGCCTGTTTACTGAAACTGACACGACACTGTAACCAAGTACTGCGATGTTGGATGTGACCATTTACATGCTGAATGAGGTTTAAAATACTCTTGTTGTCGCCATGGTTTGAGGTTCCTATTGGTTAACGGTGAGCAGAAATAGTCATGTGAGTGTTGCAGAGCCAATGAGAGCTGAGACATTCATTTAAGAACAGCAGTCCAGTCTTCATAACTCCACAGTTAAAGGAATTCAAACTGGGTTAAGAAGAAAAAAACAAAAACAGAAAAACAAAATTTGTACAACCTTCTGTAAACATGAGCGTAGGCAGAATATGGCAGACAGAAAATTACAGATTTGGCAAAAGAAAAAAAATATTTTAGAACATGATACATTCTGTGCTTTATCTGAGCGCAGCCTTGTTAGAGAGCTGTTCGTCAGAGTTAACAGATTACACAAGGCTTCAGGTAAAAGCTTTAAGGACTACAACGAGCCATCCGATCACACAGTGAGACAGCGTCAGTTACTGATTTCACCTGCTCTAATATCCCACAGGTTTCCCTCTGTCATGGATCTAATTCATTCCTAAACAAAAATAGAAAATCCATGTCTGGGAAGGCAGCCTAAACATAACAGGCCAAATCATACAAATGGATGTCAAAGAAAAATATCCATTCTTAATTAGCTTTAACTAATAATAATAATAATAATAATAATAATAATAATAATAATAATAATAATGTGGTTCTTTGAGCTGGTCCATTGCATCTCTGGCAACTTCATATCCAGCACAGTTGATTCTAATCGATGATAAGAGGACTTGTATAGACTCTATGAGAAACCTTGACATGAACGGGGCAGTTCTGAAGTGCAGCCAACAGAAAACGATCCTGTTTTTCTTGAGGAACGTCGACTAAAACCTGATTTAAGATTCTTAAACAAGTAGGAAGTGTCCAGCGAGTGAAAATGTCCAGAAAAAATAAACATATAAATGTCAAGGTCTCCCTTTTAACAGTGTTCTGTAAGATTTACACATTAGAAACTAAAGCTTGTGCTGCTGAGCGTACAGTAAATAGGAGTGTGGAACAGCTACTCTACTGCCTCTCGTACTAAAAATCTGAAGAGAAATCGTGACCTCCAGTCCCGTATCCTGTCTCCGTTCCTCTCACGAAAACAAGTGTCTGACATAGTTTGGCATCATTATTTCTACATATCAAACCATTCTGCAAGAGTAAAGACCGGCTTTATTCTCGTGAACGGCATCTTTAAAATAAAGTGACGTCGAAGTATTCTCTTCAGTCTAGACCTTTTATCCATATATATCATATACTACGGTTTACAAAAGCTCACACTAAGATGATCTGGAACAAGTGGAAGAGCAGCCAGACATCGATCTCGACTCACTGTGGCGTTACAGAGGAGTGAAAAAATAAGCAACGAAATAAGTTATTAGGCATGTCTTCATATCTCATAGTCCTGGTTTTCCGTTCTAAAAATGGATTTATTTAAACAAATAAATCCAGCATTTATATTTTTTGTATGTAACCTAAAACAGCCTGACCATCTGTGAGATCACCCAATCAGAAGGTTAATGAATATTTCTGCGCTGGTTTTGGATGATCAGGTTTATATTTATAATTCAAAGTACCTTCTTTAAAGGTTTACAGGTTTTCTGGCTGTGACAGACATTAGAGTTGAGGCGATCTAAGGTTTTGCCGATCCAGCACGGTGTAAGAGCTCAAATCGGTTTGATTTTATGCAAACCAGCATTTGTCATTATGACACTTTTTTCAGCAAAATATGCCAACGACATCTCCGTGCTAAATCAAGCTTGTATTGCATTAGCAACAAGCAATATGACAACATGATTTTAACATAATATTATGTGTTTATGTTTAGAAACAGGCTAACGGAGCCATTAATTTACTATTAAGCCGAGCACAGCAACAAGAAGGAAATCAAATTTCAGTAGAGGCGCACATTGTTGTTTGTTTACTTGTAAGTTCATGTGTTTTTTGGGGTGATGAGAGAAGACATAGCAGAGTGCGTCTCTCCAAAATCTAAAAGTGCACCAGTATGGCAACATTCTGGATTTGAAGCTGATGAAAGAGGTGTCCTAACTGGCAGCGAGTGTCGTTTTTAGTTTAAGTTTAGTCAGGTGTTGTTGTTTATTCCTGTACTCACTTTGAAACGCTGTGATGGATGAGGAACGGCAGATTCAGTTAGTTAAGCTGAGAAATTATCTTTACAATACCTCATTTCACTATAGAACCTGAATAAGTTGACAGCTGGTCGGAGGGAGATCTCCCGAGGAGCTGAAAGTTTCTAGTAAATGACCGTTGCTATTAACAACCTACTTGCTGTTGACTATACTGTACATCATTTCCAGTTATTATCACGATTTAAAACATGTTATTTCTGTTTAAAAGTTACTGTAACAAAAGAAGGAAGATAGCGACTAGGCCACTCACCCATCTTTAAAGTGGTTACATCTCCAGTATGATCTCGAGCACACAGCTATATGACGCAACAGAAGTCCATGTTTAATGGATTCAGCGCGGACAGAGAGCTCCACTGTTACGCAATTTGACATGACAGTCGAACGCTCGTTTGACACAGTGTCATTCTGTGCCACTTGGGAGCGGCTGCTGAGTCAAGTGCAACTAATTCTAGTGGTAAAATTCGGTATACTGGTCTGGTCCAGTGTTTGGCTTAATATCAAACCAGTTTGAAAGTTTCTACACTGGCCCAACCCTAGCAGAGATCAATCTGGTACTAATACAATGCGCTACGACCGCATATGTTCTGCACTGAGACCAGCAGATGAAAGAAAAATACCTTAGGACATAAGTGTAGCTTTGAGACTGTTTTGCCAACACTGACCAGGGATTCCAGCGTAACTACTGAGTATTTAAAGTCTATTCATTGCAACGTAAATGCCAGAGAATCCAGTTAACGCTCTAATAAAGTGCAAGGGGAATACCGTCAATGGAAGAAAGAAGAATCTCTTTATATATGTACAGATTGTGCCTTTAAAAGAGAAGCTTGGACACGGGAGGCTATGCTCTCCACTGTGTCGTAGCTCCGAATGGCAGTCAGTGTTTGAACCATCTAACAGCGCTTGTGCTCTCGTCTTGGACGCAATCAGCAGCTCGAGGACCACCAGTTACTCATCCCGAAGGCTGTTTGTTACAAAGAGACATTTTTCAAAAGAAAGGCATTTCTGAGAGAGAAAAAAAAAAAAAAAAAAATCACTGCACATTTCACATACGCACACTTACAAACACCGAAGCGGATGCTGAACATCTGTTAGATCGACAAAGAAGACTAAAAACATACCATCGCTGCTGAAATGTGTCTAGAAAGGAGGAAAAGTCAAGAAATTAGACATCAGCAATGTAAACTAACAGAAAGGCTCTATGTCAGTCAAATGGTGATCTGACATGTTCACAGCTAATACAATAATAAAAAACCTGACCACTCACACATGTACACATAGAATTTTGTTGGGCTATGCCACGAGGCACCGATCAGCCTGTTAGATTTCTAAATATTTCAACATCAATGGTTGTTTTTGCTCTGATTTATAAAGCTGAAATTCACATATTTGTTCCTACAGACGTCTGGCAGTTATAAAGAACCTCTTATTTGTCTTCTTGTTGTTCTATGATATTCACTTGACGGCCAGTTTGAGCACTTCTTGAAATCTTCCTACCACAGTAGAAGTCACTCCACTGACTCACTAATAAAGAGAAAAATAGAGCCACTTGACGCAATTTAAGACCATAATTCCTGCCCACACACCCACTCACACATGCAAACAGAAACAAGTAAGTCAGGAAGCCAGTCAGCCAGTCAGTTGGTCAGTCAGGTGGGAGAGGAGAACCAGCCCCCTCGCCGCCTTCTGCTGATTGATAAAAACCACACCGATCCTCACTCCTCCACACAACCAGTTAGCGGATTTTGTTCATTATCCAACACCCACAAAAAGTGTGTGATGTAACTAAATCCCAACTACACAGACATGTAGCTGACACACCCACACGTCCCCCCTCCGACGTGGCCTAGATAGGAAATCCACCAATCAAAGCTGGCCGATGACCATCGACGAGGAAGCTGACGCCCATCACAAGAGGAGGAGGCTCACGCAGAGCAGAGGAGTGTGGAGCTGTTTTTAAATCATCTTCCAGTCCAGTTGAATCTCAGGAGGCTCTCTGCCCCAGACTTAAACCCCAGTTTGGAGATCTGTTGCTGGGATACGGGCCGTCTAGAGCTCTGCACTGGCAGGTGGTTTGGTGGTGGTCATGATCTTCATGTACTGGGTGAAGATGGCCTCGAAAGCCTCGTCTCTGTGGATCATGGCACCAAACACCAATGGCTGGAGGGAGAAGAAATGATGAGAATTTAAGTCTACATTTTACATGTGATCGCTGCACTACTTTGCAAGATGTTATACAATAAGGTCAGGCTGGGCGATAAATCGAATATTATCTTCAATTACAATTTTGAAAACAAGATAATTAAGATATAACATGCTGTATTCCACTTTGCAATGCTACTTTTTTTGTCCAGTGCAGGGTTCTAACCTGAGAGTGTCCCACTGTCCCAGGGACAGAAAAATCATTGTGATAAAAAAGTACATTTTGGGACAGTTATGGGACGAAATGTAGGCAGGCATTAATCGCTGATGAAGTTATCAATGTAGGATTGCGAAAGTACACAATTCAGTATTGATACAAACTGTGACAGTGACATCGGAAAACAGTGAACCTGTCGCTGCTGTCAGGCAGGTGTAGCCTAATGGCGTCTCAAAGCGGTGGTGGGATTTTATGCCTTCTGGTGTCACCAGCGGTCTATGTGGCAAGACGTGCCACAGACGAGACAAACTCCAATAATGCTCTGTCTCACAACAGACTGGTGGCCTGCTTATTTGTGCGCCTACAGTGTTTACAAATGTTAATAAAATTGGTAAAAAAGTTTACAGGTATTACAATAAAAAATGGCTGATTTATGAATTATGTAACAAATGTTTTCATAAAATGTGAGCTTATTATTAATTTAGTCATTTCAATGATATTTTATTTATGTCAGGCATCACTTTTAATCATGGAAATAATTTTACTGGGACGACCACCATTTACTTTGGAGCGGTTTGGGACGGTGGTGAAAAGAGTTGGAGCCCTGGTCTTGTGTCATAAATCCAGCGCATGCCTTTTCTTTATAGCAGTGCACTTTTGCCCCTCCCTAAAAGAAAAACTGACTCAACCTGGGGCATGTTTAGTTCACCTCCAGCCTGTTTTTCAGATGAATTATATGTTAAGCCTTTTTTTAAGTTCAATAAATGCATGATGTTTCCAAAGTCAATGAGTAACTGTGTTATGTAATTGTGATCTCAATATTGACCAAAGTATGGCATTGTCCAGGAGTTGTAATTTTTTCGAAAATGATATCGTCTACATTGTCAGAACTTCTTGATGTTGAAATTCCTTATTGTTCTAAATTGTTTTTACTGAATGACACCTCTGTCTTAACTCTATCTAATTGTCACAACAAGTCTGTTTTATTTGCTGGTCTGACAGCTGCCAAAAAGATGCTAGCACTTCGCTGGCAACCGCCTCACATTCTCTCTTGGACTCATTGGATGAATTCTTTATTAGACATTGCTTACGTGGAACTGTCAGTAGCAAGGATGCACAATGTCAAGCAAGCCACTATCTCCTCTTGGTCTTCTTCTACAGAGAAAATCAAGATCACCTTGTGTGTGCAAAATGGATTCTAGAGCTCTTTGCATTTTTATTTATCTATTGATTTTATTTTTTTATTTATTGGTATGTGTGCAGCTGCACCCCTTGACTGACTGATAATTATATTTGGTAACCATAATGAGATGATTGCAACCTCACAATGTCTTAAACCTGTCTATATGTGTTACATCTTTAGTCGATTGGGGGGGGGTGGGGTGAGGGTTGTTTGTTTTCATGTGTGCATTTGTTTTATGTATTTGGATTGAAACTTCAATAAAAAATTGAAAAAAATAAAATAAAATAAAATAAAATAAAATAAAAATATTGACCAAAGTAATCGTGGTTAGGATTTCTTCCATGATCGAGCAGCCCTGCAATAAAGCACCAGTCAGTCTGAATCACAAAGGAAAAAGGCCATGATGGTAAAGAATATCTTATATCCCTGAGAAATACACCAGAGAACATTCAGTGTCAAAGGTCATATGGTCAGTACTGATGAACTGTCCCAAAGAAATCGATAGAAAACTTGATCATAAACACCTATTTCCTCAACCAGACATAATGATGAGGACATTTTTTAATTCACAGATATAACTGATCAGATAGGCAAGTCAAGGTCCTCAAAACGTTTTAGTTTTCTCCTGTTTGTGGCTGCCAACGTAGCCAATTCCAGCCTGAAGCTATTGGAAGTTTGATCTTAAATGATCTAAAGCTATATCATAGGCAACTGGACTTGCTTGAGTTTCTTGAAGACGTTTCACCCCTCATCCAAGAAGCTTCTTCACTTCTTCAGTTCTGAGGAAGCCCCTTGGATGAGAGGTGAAACTCAAGCAAGCCCAGTTGCCTATGATACAGCACTCAAGATTACCATGACCTGGATGACTGAGCATAAAAAAAGACGATGTCACATATTTCATCCTATGCACATCTTATAAATCTAGCCACTGGCTGTGGATGTTTCTCATACTGAATCCAGTGGTAAAATTAAAAACACCCCAAACAATTATTGCAAGTCAGCATCATTTTAGAGTTACATAAATAATGGACAAATGTTAAATCACAAATGAATAAAAACGCCCATGGATGGGAAGAGCGGTTCATCATTTAAGGCTTGTCAAGTTGTTCACAAAGGAAGACAAAATAATATTGTGCTGTCTCACTGCATTCAAAAATGGGTTTTGTTTATTGTAGCTTGACTGCCTGTTTGGCCACCACTGTGCAGAATGATGTAGGTGCTGAGAACTTTAGTGAAGTAGGAGCAGTGAATCATTTACATATCTATAGATTCTGGATTTCTCATTGAGGGAAAAGAATCTTTAACAAGATATTTGGAATAAGACATATCAGACACAAATTACTGTTGAAAGCAGAGTATTTATATCTTAAAGCGTGTCCAGAGGGGATCTTTAAGCCAAAGAAGACATAGCAAAGATCTAAAGAGATGTTGACGTATGAGGATTTTTCTAGCTGACATTAAGAAAAAATTTTGACTACACAGAATCTATTTAAAACCAAAATCACCATTTGGATCTAAAGAGGGAAAAAAAAGTCACTGCACACTGTACCTTCTGAGTGGAAGGAGTAGCTATAGAGATGCCCATCCCACTTCCTGGTAGGACCGAAAGCACTTTATACTGCAGAGTTCAGAAAACAATCATGTTATGATAAGTTTCAATAGCAAAGAATTACACAATGAAAATATTATATATATTTTTGTCCTACTTATTTTGTACAGTGATTACCTTCTGTATGTCAGTGATGTCCACCAGCTTGATGACTTTATTCTTCTTGGAGGAGCTGGATCTGGAGCTGGAGCTCTCAAAGCACAGGTAACTGGCAGAGAGAGAGACAAAACATCGCTTGCTGAGAGGAGGCCCGAGGTAAAACAAGCAGGCAAGCAAAACAGACGACACAGCAAATGGACTTCCTGTCAGTTACATATCCAGAGAGGTGAAGAGATTTACAGATCAGAGGTATTCTCAGGGGGAGGGCTGTCCTACTTGATCCACTGTTGACTGACTGACACAGAGAGGGGGAGGAGATCTGTTGTAGCTCTTAGTTAGGAGCCTTTTCAGGTACTTAATACCACAAACCCATTGGTGTTAAGTGTTACTGCTCCTCCTCTCTGCTCCACCTGTAAGAGCAACTTCTTTTTCTCTCACGCACTCACAGATTTAATGATAAAACATTCTGAGAGAAGATGTTCGCACTTACTTCTCTGTGACGTAGAGCACTCCGTTCCTGATGTAGTCTGTGGGCATCTTCCTGTCTCTGTTTATGAGGCAACACCTCCAGCCGTTCTCACACACTGAAAACACACAGAGCAGAGAAGTGAGAAGATTTGTGCAGTGATAAGTAAAAAAAACAACTAAATGTGTGCAGCCTGGCTTCAAACCACCGTGAGAAAATCAATGTCAAGATTTTTGCTTTTTCTCAGCTGGGTCATGATTTCAGCTTGGCTGGTTGGTACCTTCGATTTTTAGCATTTCTAGGTCTCATGTAGACCAGACTTATCTTCACAGCACTAGAGAAAGGTCTGGAATCATCAATTATCTTTCTCCTAGGGGGGAAAAAAAGGCTCTAGCTTGTTTGTATTTCTTTAAACCAATCACAGGCTGAGGCGGTACTAGGCTCAGACAGAATAGTGTCTGTGGGGACTTGTTTTGGACGAACATTTGCACATGGGGAGGTGAGCAATGTCACTAAAATGGCAAAATAAAATGCCAGAACTTTTACTGACAAACATAATTTGATAGCCTGTGCCCTGAAGGTGAAGCCTGACTATTCTTAAGCCCTGGGGGAGTTCAGTCGATCCGTTTAGCAAAACATTATTATGACGAGATCACAGAAGCTTGTGTGAAGTGGAGCAGATCGGTACATTGGTAATGTCAGTGTCGCTGGAGATGTGGCAAGTCAACTCCGACTGGCTGGAAAATGGATCAACACCCAGTGTGAGAGTTCTGCCAGATGGGAGTCTGGGCTTTTCCAAGATGTGTTCACAAGTTGTTTTAAATTCGCTGTTGATCTTTACAACCTTTTACCAACTAACGCTGCAGGCATGCCTCCAAATCTTTGTGAAAACTTGCCATTTTCAGCGTGCAAGTTGTTAGCTCGCATATTGTTTCCCGTAGCAAAGGAGATTTTGAAAATGGGAACACAAAGGTAGTGGTAGGGAGGGAGGATGCTGGCCTAAATAGCCGACAGGTTTATAGCCACAGTCTACATCTACCGAGTTACACTGAGTGTTTCTAATCTTTATCTATTACAAATGAAGTTAACTGTGCAAAATGCAATGCAGATATTTGGCATATTCAAATGAAAACAGTTACAAGATGCAGTAAGTCCCCTCACCCGCCAGAGGGCGCTCTGACTCCTGCAGGTTGAAGACCTCATGAAAGGCTCCCTTCTTGGTGCTGTGGGAGCGACCTGTCTCCTCCTCTCTGCTCACCCCACATGGGACGGTGGCAAGGCTGCTTCGAGAAACCACCGGCTGAACCTGGAAAGAGAGACAGAGGAGGAGGAGGAGGAGGGAGAAGAAGGAGACAGGGGGGGAAAAAAAGGATGACAGGAGGACAAAAGTAAAAGAAAAATTGCCATGAAGGAGACAAAAAGGGTATGGGGAGGTGGGAGAAAGACAGATGGGAGAGAGGGAATCAATGTGATGATGACGAGAAGCAGGAAGGGCAAGGATAAATATTTAAAATCATATATCTCCACACAGTCTGTGGCCTCATCCAATATGTGTTTCCAGAGCTAAAGAGAAAAGTGGCCAAAATTGAAACAGCTCAACTTCCAGTTTTTCATTTCTCTGCATGTGCACTTGTTTGCATCAGGCTCAGGTGTGATGTACAAAGCAGAGAGTGAGGCCATCATTCACTCGTCATACATAGCACCAGTTTATGAGCACAAAATACTTGTTAGTATGTGGAAAAATGCACTCTGATGTACATGTTCAGGTCAGAGGGATCCTTCTTTACTGTTCAGTCCTCTCTGTGCAGGAGATTCTGTTTCGGAAAACAATCAACTAACATTTAAAACATCAACAGCAATTATATTATAGGGTTAATTACTACGTGTAATGGAAAAGGGAAGGATTTAATGAGCTAATGTGGAATTACAGTGTTTAACTACTCTATGTGCATTATAGCTAATCAGTAAACACTGCTAACTCTCACACAGCATCTACATCAATGGATCCAAAATGCCAACAATCTGGGAATTTGTTATTTAATACGTTTGCAAATGGATGAAATAATTCAATGAAATGGAAAAACTAAAATTTAGTTTTAGTAGTAGACATTTTGATCCATTCTGTCCACAAACACGGCCAGTCCCAAGGTGTGTCACACATCTCGCACACACACACACAGGCTTTGAGGTGAGTTTGCGGCACACCCAGGTGCAGCGGAGGAAACAAAGGGAGACACACCAGAGTCCCTACCTTCTCAGTGCCAGAGAGCTGAGAGAGAGAAACGACAGAGGACACCTGTGACTGACGCCACAGCAAAAGGCTCACACACACACATGCACACACATGCTCGTACACTCTATACTACGTGTCAGAGACGCGCACACACGCGTGAGTGGCTGAGTTGTAATGGATTATTGACAGGAGTGATGGTATTTTGAGACTTTATTGATGTCTGTTCTCTCTTTGCCCCGCCACAGCAGGGGTCGGCGGTGGGAGGGAGACTGACACGCACTGGCAACATGAAAGGTTCAACCTGACCTACAGCTGAAAGACCATCTCTGACGATCTCTTGATATAAATGTTTTCTGGTTTGTACGGAAATTATATGTTATTTGAAGATGAAACGCCTCAATTCTTTTGCATTTTTAGCATGCTATTAAAAAAGAAGAAGATAGATAGAAAAGCACTCGGAGAGGGCAGACCTCCGCCAAGCAGCTCAGATTTCCCGCAATTTTATTATTTTATCCACTTCGCTTCAACCGATCACCACCAAAATGTTGTCCTTGTCCCATTATCAACCTTTCCTGAAAATTTCATCAAAATCCGTTCAAAACTTTTTGAGATATTTTGCAGACAAAGAGACCAACGCTGGCGAAAACAACCTCCTTGGCGGAGGTAATTAGCTTGCTTGCTAAACTAGCTCTTTAGCTAGTTATATGGCAATAACCTGAAATCACACATACTGATGACATAACTGCAAAGCTTCTATAGGTGTAAACTTTCTCTGTTACAGCTTTAGCTTAACAGGGACAGCTTAAAGAATTAGGGTAGCTGAAATAATCCTCATGCATTTCAAACATATTTTATCTGACACAGGATTCAGACGAGGGCTAAACAACATGGGAACTTAATTTAATTGAGTTTTTTCATACAATAAGTTCCCTATATTCTTTATTATTCATTATACACAAGCTATAAATCATTTTTTAGTATGACTAACACAACACTGGACACAGTCATCTTATATAAACTGCTCTTTCATGTAGGTCAGGCCTCTGTGTTAGGGTGAAATGGGATGATTGGTGTGTGAATTTTTCAATCAAAGTAAAATATTATAACCTATAACTTCAAGCTTTGTCAATAAATAATAAATAAAATCCGAGAAAAGAACAGCAGAGCACTGCAGAGCAACAGGACCTAGTGTGAGCGTTATATATAAAACAATAAATATGACTCGTACTGATTTCCAGTCAGTTACAGTAACAAATCACACAAACTAAAGTGCACACTGACAGTGACTCCACCACTTTAAAAACGCTGAGATAAATCTGAGGCTAACCGCGTTCACTTCACCCAGCAGTAGGAAAGCAAGACAGTAAGTTTTCTTGGGTCTGGAGGGGCGGCAGCATTTATTCAAGGACAAACTGAAACCTACACTGTACATTTAACAACACAAGACAGCTTTACTGCTAATTTCTTCTTTACTGCGATAGCCAACAGCCGTCAGCTCTGAGCGCATCCATCACTGTCCGTCACCATCACTCTTTGCTTGACCACACACTGACTACACACACATTATGCTCTGAGCTGCACCCCGAATGTTAATGTGGATTGCATATGTCATTTAGAGGGTGGTGCAGTACATCACGATGTTGGTTTGAATGCGATTTATCGTTCAGCCCTATTTCAGACTAAGTTATGTTTAATGAGTGTGTGTGCTTATATATGTCTCTTAAGAGTTAGTTGAGGAAAGCTACAAGAAGAGGCAACAAAGGAGGAGGGACAGCAAACAGCTGATTCAGATGTGTATATGTTTGTGTTTCTGCGCCCTTACCCGCCTCGACACAGTGGCGTTGGTCCTTTCTTTGAGCTGAGGGTCTGTGGGCAGGCTGTTCCACACTATGTAGGGTGTGTCGTACTTGTCCCGCAGCTTCGGACAGCTCTTGAACAGGAAGTCTATGATGAAGAACTTGATGCCGGCGTATAGACCTGAAGAGGAGCAAACGAGGACGGGGGAATGCAGACGGTGAGTAAGGATGAAAAAACTGATCACTTCCTCCTCACCTTGTCCCCAAAGACCTTCCATTTTTCAGTTCAAAGCCTTTCATCGTTTGAAATCTCATTCATGGTGCAGACCTCTGTATCCCTCCTATCATTCAAATTCTTTCACATGATTTCCATTTTAAAAAGCCTTCACATTACAATATTTTTGAATCACACGTATTAAAATAGGAAGCTGAGTTTTAAATGGCTTTTTTAGTGTTTGGACTGACATCTGTCCTCACTCACAAAAACAAGCCTTGAATTATGTAAATGTTACATCAGAGCATGGTGAAATGGGGACTCATTGTACAAAGAGTCTGCTCTCTAAACTTACTTGCAGTGTCCAAAATTGCTAAGTGTAGTAACCAACAAGACTTTGACTGCTTTTGTTAATGACTCGAAAAAAACAACAACAAGGTCTTAGTTAAAGGTCCAGTGTGTGGTATTTGAGGGCATCTATTATGAGTACACAAAAACCAAACACTGGCTCTAGATAAGGCCATTCACGTCAGCAACTGTAGTTCTCCTACAAGCTTGGCACACAGGAAAAGTCTCAGCTCTGCAACCTCTCCAATAAATCCTACAATATGGACCTTTAATTGTTACAGACAATAACTAGACAAACAGAACATTTCTAGAATTATGTGTTCATCATATATGGGATGGATGGCAGAGATAGGAAAAATACCCATGTTGATGACTTGCGAGCATTTGCATTTCACTCAGGACCATAAATGTCAACATTATGGTGGCTCTAAAGGAAAAGTCATGGGAAGCTAGCTAACAGCGGCATTCATTTGGTTATTAGTGCTGATTACGTCATCCCAGTGGCGCATAAGCGTTGCTGCGGAAACATGGTGGCCACTCTCCAGTCTGGCCCCAGGTAACCCCAACAAGTAAGCCACTTCATTTTGAGTCGCAAAACCCCCTTTATCATGGTTAGCTATGTTAGCACCACTAACTGTGCTGACACTGCTAACAGTGCAAACACAGTTTACTGAACTTAACAATGCTAAAGGGGGTTTGCGGTTCAAAACTGAGTCAGTTACCCACCAAGGTGACCTGGAGGCAGCCTGGAGTGTGGGCACAATGTTTCCACAGCATCGCTGTTGGGTAAGGATGGCATTACTAGTGGTAATCGCCATATAAGCGGTGCCCCTAGCTTGCTCCCACAAGGCATGGTTGGTGCGCGGTGCAGTAAATTATGAAGTAACCTACAGACTGACATGCGTAACCAGTCATGGTTAACCCAATAATGGTCAACAGTTTACATCCCTAGTTTGGACCAAAGCAGACCTGCAGCCCAAAAGTTCACTGTCAAATTTGGTTTGGCTACCTGCCAACTTCAGTAATGGAACCTCATTGTCACTATCATTAACAGGATAAAGAAATGTATGTGGCTACAGTGACAACTATACATAGCTGGTAAAATGAACAGGAACTATTGTGTCAACAATTATTTTTGCTCCAAGCATCTTCCAAGGATATATGAGCCCACAGCACTCTGGAAACACTTTGTTTACAAGACACAGCGGTAACTAATATTATCAGATAGGCATGCCAATAGCCTGCAGCGACCCCTCGCAGGGAGCGCGAGAACAGTTACACAAGCGCTGCATGAATGCATTTGTTTGTGTGCACTGAATTGAGTATAAGGATTTGCATTCTCCAAGGACCTATGCAGTGTGTAGAGTATGTCACAAGGATAAAGAAGCTTTGTCTGTGTGTGTGCACGTCTCTCTCACCCATCATGAAGCCCAATAGTTTATATGGCAGGACGCAGGAGGTGATGAAAGTCACCCACAGGCAGATGTAGAGTTTCCGGGTGCTCTCTGGCTGCACCCACATGAAAAGGCTGATAGAACAATGCATTGAAGCACACACAGAAAGACAAGGGAGAGGAAAAATAAAATATAAGTCAATGGGTCTTTCTTTAAGTATTATTAAACACTATTTTCATACTTGATCCCAGCATTTAGTAAAATACTTTGTTTTTCCTTACTTTTTTATCTTCTCCAAAACATCGGCCATTTTACCAAACAGGTTCTGTAAGGAGAGTTGAAGCACTGTATGAACCAGCACTGCTTCACTATCTGTTAACACTGATTTGAGAAGTTACATGAGCTGTGTTGTACCTGTGCTTTTTGTGCAACATCAAGTACAAGCTGGAACTTCTCAGATACAGTCAAGTCTTCCTTTGGAGGCTCCTGCACAAAACAAAGAAAAGCTAATAAGACATAATATCTACCTCTACTGATGCATACGTTTTTCCTCCTGACACACAGAAACAGGAAGCAGTTAAACAGGAAGTGGGAAGCCGTCTCACCATGGGTTCTGAGACCTCAGGCACAATGCTCCACTGGATCCTCCAACCTCTGGAAAACAGGAAGAAGAGTAACGTACATTTTTATGAGGTGTTTTGTTCAGATGAAATTAGGCCACTAAACTCTGCAACCTCCATCATCTCTACAACCTTCATCACTTTAAAGGCGACTAGGTGTCCCAGTTTGTTAGTCCAAGTCCAGACAGATGTCTGATGAACACTAATGTGCCCTCATTTCATGGTGATCACCAAATTGCCCCACTTTAAATTATTTTGATGTTTTTATAACTTAATCTATTTGTGGTTGTTGTGAGCACAAAGAGAGGTTTGCCTTTGCTATGATGTATTGGTCGTCTGTGTAGCAACAGGCATAATGATCATAAATACACGCGTGTCCATTATCATCAACACACATTTGCTGCAGTAGATTCATGTTTTTATTTGGCTCTCACAGTCATAAGAGGTCAGCAGTGTGCATCTGTTCACCGATAGCACAGCTGTGGCCTCAGTGGTTTAGTTTAACAGGGTTTTATTACACAAAGCACAAGGTAAATCTTGTCACAGCTAAAAACATTTTCAAACTAGCCCCAACAGCAGTAATAATGACCATAGCAATGCCACAATGGCTGCTTCTCTAATATCTGACTATCAGCTGCGGAGAAATGTTGTTACCTGGCAATGAGGTAATTTAAGGACAAGCGCAGGATAGCCAGGAAGAGTAACATGGGAATGGCCCAGCCATGCCAAGCAGCATTCATGTAGATCTGTAGGCACAAGGAAACAGCACCACATCACACATTCTGACATTTGGTTTATTGATCTTCTCTCAGAGGTGATCAAAATTTAGAGAGCTACAGTTTACATTCATATGCATTCATTACAATGCAATACTGTTGCAACCCTAATGCCATGATGCCAAACCACATTCTTTTTCTTATAGCATCAAATAAGTAATAAAAAACAAACTTGTCAGAAGAATTAACATTTGAACGCACATTAGCGTGCTGACACCTACCTTCAATGATAGAAACCATCTTTGGGAAAAAGTTAATTGACTTTTACTTTGAGTTTTTAGTTTGCCCCATGGCCCATTCACTAACATGGAGGGGACGGGGTTTATGAGCTATACTGCAGCCAGCCACTAGGGGGCAATCGACATGTTTTGGCTTCACTTTTGGGAAACTGTCCATATTGTCCATCTTTATTATACAGTCCATGGGTCAGACTGATAAAACTGACGACAGAAAATTATTTCAGTCCATAATAAAGTTTTATACACCAGACCTTAACTCAAGAAAACTGTGAGACTTAATGCATGAGAGAAATTTATGGCAAGATGAACAAAATTATTCCCTTTAATGATGATTTACAACACTGACTTGAAGCATTTAATTTTGGACGATATAATGCCGGGGGAAGACGTTATTAGAGCCACCTGTCAGTCAACATTAGAGCAGGATCATCTCAAGATACTAAGGCCGAGTTTACACTGATATTGTTTTTATCTATTCATTTATTTATTTTTTGGTAAACAGTGTTTTACCTCTTTTATTCAGGAAAAAAATCCCATCCACACACACACTGTTATAAAAAAAAAAAAAAGAAAACCTGTCATCATGAAAACCTACAGGCAGCAGTATAACCTTAACCCTAACGCTTTGCAAAGAAGAAGAAGATGTTGGAGCCTGAAAACAGCTATAATCAGAAGGCAACCTAAAGCAGTGACCTCAGTACTGCATTCTGATGCATCTCTTCCTAAATACAGTGGAAGAATCACTGTACATTTAAGTGTAAACCTGTAAAAAGTCCTGTCAGCATGAGTAGAGCCAGCATGATTTCGGCTATGTCTACCGTTGCACGAAATGTGGCCTCATTAGTAAAGGAGATAAGGGCACACACTCTTACATCTTAATCCAAAAACTCTCTTTTCCCTGTTGACACGGCAACACTGAAGAAGTTTTTCTGAAAAAAATCCTCACAATGCACGGACTGTTACAAGAGGTTTGTTTTTAGTGACATAAAACACAGTTTGTATGTGAACAAACGCGTTAAAAAAAAAAGATACGTTGCGTCTGCGTGGGCCTGAGATAGCCTTGACATGGCCAAAATCGATAGGTTGAAGATAATTTGGCGTAATCACTGACTGTGGACATTAATGAAGATCTGATTAACCCCCCGCGGCCTCTGACAGAACCACTGCAATCTGTCACTGTTGAGCAGAAATTACTTTGCCATTCATTTCACTTCACTGTCATGTACAACCAAATGGGTTCGTCAGTCAATTTAAAGATCTCACTTCTTAGTCTATTAAAACTTTGAGCTTAATCAACAGCACACAGTTCAACATAATAGAGTGATGTCTTAGCAATTACTCATAACAAAGGTGCACACTCACAATGAAGGCAATAGCTGAGGTGTAGACAGAGTGCCAATTAGATAAGGCGGAGAGGTTCCTTAAAAAGTTGGTGACAGGTCTGGCTCCTCGCTCTGGAAAACAAAGAGTAGAGGGATGAATTTAGTGTGGTTTGGGACGACTATATATTGTCACTGTGCCTGTTTTACTCCGTTTTCTGCCTGTCAATACTGATCTCAAGGCACAGAAAAATGTACAAAATATTTCTTACTTTAAGAACAGTACAGTATGGCACCAAGGTCGATATTTTAACTGCACTTATATTATACTTTTCTATTTATTTGTGTGTGTGTTTTGAGTACTCACTGAGTCGCCTCATATTTTCTGTTAACCTGGATGGAAAACACAAAAGAGTGAAGGTCAGAACACGCAGATGCTTACGTATAAACACACAGGTTCACAAAGAAAAAGCTGCTTTCTGAGCGAGGGGAGGTGATGACACTTCACAAGCCTGGCATGAGTCATTCGCCTTTTCAAAGCAGGAGAAAAAGAGTGAACAGAGAAAACACATTTGAAAAGTGTCTCCAACTTCCTCTCTGCTTTCTCCCTGCAAGTATCTGATCTGAATACATTTAATCTGGCAACCAATAAACTACAACAAAAGTTAGCTGCAGTGCAGTAGCATCTGTCAAAGGTATATACAGCAGGATACAATGTTGTTATTATCTACAGTGTACATTCATGGTCTGAAATGGAAGCAACTGTGAAAGAAATCCGGGCTTAAGGTGACACAATCCAAGACAACTGTTGTTTGACTGCACACCTTTAGTGCTCCCCAGCTGCTGTCGAGCTGTCTGACTCCACATCTCTTTGAACAACTGTAGAATCAATACCCGAGGACGGGCACTTCATGTTCTATTCCAGAGCAGCTCTCACCCACCTTTTAGCACTTAGCGGTTCCTCGGCCTCCACGGTGCTCTCCTCCGGCTGGAAACGAAAGTCTTCGATGTAAACCCCGAAGCGCTCGTACAGCCACTTCTGCAGCCGCGAGCTCCACACCTCCTTCTGCTGTTTGTCTGCTAAACAGAGCAAAGGGGCGTGCGAATGGTGCCTTAGTTAGGTTTGGTTCACCACACTGTAGCAATTTATAACAACTTGTACTGTTTTACCACAGGCACACATTTTTCAAATCCCTTCACCAACAATAATGTGTTGTTCCTATACAGATGGCTGTGTGGCTCATTCATACTGACTTTATGTACAAAAATAGATATGTCCATTTCAAACATCGTACTTCCATATGTTCTTTACAATGGCATAGATACAGCCAATATATGGCACTAGAGGGCAGACGACAAACGAGGCAATGGTGGAGGTCTGTGCAGCTTTTATGTACAACCTGGCATGTGAATGGAGAATTCCTTTCACTAGTTTCACTATATATTACTGATTCACTCCATTACGCCATTACTTAAATTTATTTTTTGTCTCCTACAGTCTCAACACTACACTACAATGCCTACGGTGGTACGGCTCCATGGCATCTCAGAAAGCATGCACAAATATAGACAAAATGAATGCAGAGTATGGACAGAAGGCTCCATCGATCTCTGTAACTGATGCCAAACTCATTAGTTATTCCTCATTCTAAAATCCTTTTCTCTTTTAAAGTGAAGCACAGTGTGAAAATATAAACATTACAGGTATTCTATGCAGCAATTCTCTTTTACTGTTTGTAAACAGTATTAGCAGCGATGGTGAAAGTAAAAGCCAACTCGAGCTTCACTCATTTTGGACCAAGCTTTGTCCATTTGGTGTTTCACCTGGCTATATTTGCATTTTGCCAGCGCTGTGTCAGCAATTTTCACAGCTCTCACTGGGATGGGCGCAGCTCAGGGTCCAGTCGCTACCTCTGCTGCACGCTGTGCCCAAGACAATAAGTAAAATAAAAAATACAGGCAGAGGGCAGAGTCTCTGCAGATAATTAGACCACCACACACTTCTAAGTGATGATGAAGAGGGACAACTTTTGTATGAGTGCGTAGTATACCTTTAGTGTATACATGTAACCCTTGTGTTAAGCAGCACAGTGGTTCCTCTGTTCTTTCTTTTGAGGATGCAGGGTTTTGCCAGGGACATGTAGCTTTAGTCTCAGTCTTCTCTCTCAGTCAAGAGCTTGTGTTTACGACATGGGAAGTCGTGCACACAAGGCCACGAACTTGGATCTTTCAGAAAGTTTCCACTTACGAGGCTGTGAATACAGTGAGGGAGGCATTCCCGTAAACACATATAGATCCTGTTTGTAGCCATCGTCTAAGGGGCGGGGCTTAGCAAACGGTCAATTTCTAATGCTGAAGTGCACCTGAGCAAAGAACAGTACATTAGCTGCTCTGGTTTAACTATTAAGTATACACTTATTTACTGTGGCTGTAATGAGCAGCTACAGTAGGTGGCTGTGAGTGTGAGTGCACTCTGCGTCTCTCAGAGGATAAATACACACATTTAAAAAAAAAGATAAAGTCATTATGGCAAAGTTAAATCTCTTGTTTTTCTGCTGCAGATGACATTCTGTATGAAGCCATTTTAATTTGTAGTTTACACAGTTACCACGGTCCCATCAGCCCAAATTACTCTGTTTATCCTCTCCTTTACCTAACAGATTACCCTCGCTCTGTCCTTTTATCCACACACACTAGCCCAAACACACACACTCTTAATCCACCCTGAAAAAACACTGACACCCACACACCCCTCCGACACTAGTTAGAGCGCAGGCATGTCTGCCCTAGATGAAGTGATCTACAATCATAACCCATTTTCCAAAATTAGCCCCTCTCCCTCCCTTTCGCTCTCTGAAACCACACACACACACACACACACACACACACACACACACACACACACACGTCACTGGGTCTATGGAAGTCAAACTATGACTGCGATTGTCACAGCTGTTATTCAGCCCAAAAACACACACCCAAACACACACATTTCAGTAACACCGTCTGACTAATGCTGCATTAATGAGCTCCTGTCTACCCTCACTGACATATTTTAAAAATACACGCACACACATGCACAGACATCCTTATGGCAGTAACACTGGCAGCGCAGATCTGTAATGATGACATCAATTAACCTCCTTTGTAGAATAGTGGGTGATACATTAAAGTTGTTTGTTGTTGCTCGCTCTCTTGATACAACTAATCGCACACCAGGAATCACCATTTATAAGTGTGTGTGCTGCTGAACACACACTTGTGCATGTCCTACAATAACCCAGGAACATTTCCGACTCTGTTTAACACTGTTCTGTTCCTGTCGAGCACTCCACCGCACACATCCTACATCCCCGCCTCCCCTGCACGCATGCGCACACGCACACGCACACCAACACACGCACAAACACAGTCGTCTTGATTTACTCCCACACTTGGAAGACGTCAAAGTCTTCCTTCCCAAACTCATTTCCTGTCAGTCCCCCTGAACTCCCACTCACCCTCCGCCCCCACTCTCTCACACTCCCTCTCCAGGGTCTTACCTGTTCCATTGTTTGAGGGCGACTGCTGTTTCCGGGGAGGCTGTGGCGGAGAGTCCTCCAGCCTGAGGCGGAGAGAGAGAAGAGGAAAGATTTGTCAAGTGTTAGTCTCACTTCTCTATTGTCAGCTAGAGTCCCACTGCCGGCATGTCTCAGGCAGTTTATGGTTAGATAGACACATCTGGGGATCAAGACAGAATGAGGAGAAACAATTTCAGTCTCAATCTGCTTCAATAATCTCGCTGTTGCAATCTCATAGCAGGTGCCAACAAAAACAGAACAGAGTGGAACAGAAGAGCTCATGTCCTCACACATTAGTTTTACACTTCTATCTGATTTGACTCAAGCTAATTCTATATTTCAGATGTGTGAAACAACATGCCAAGAGGTTATTGGCTTTGGCAAGCTTGGTTCCCTTTCATCATTAATGCTTTAGGGGTCTTCATGTTTCATGCTAATGGCCAAGAAATGCTTGCTCAAAAAATAAATACTGTGTTGATATTCTCGGAAAAACAAAGCAATTCTTTTTCCCTGAAGGTTAGAGCTTTGAGAAATCAGTTGGCGATGTTTCATTTTAATGGCTTGGTGGTTTCCTAGAAGTTTCCCCGAAAGAACTTTGTAATACGGAACTAATAATGGGTAACACAGAGGTCAATATCAATTCATTATTCATTTATCAGTACAAACATTCTCTTCATGTAGGCCTACAGTATGTTGAATGATTTGTCTGTACACAAATTTTTCATTTCTGCATGTTCAGCTACTTGCTACACTTTTATATACCATTTTTATTGACAATGATCTGTCCATTCCCCCCTTAATTAGCACCACATTACTTAATAATTAGTGCTGGGTAACCTTTAAAAAATTACAACACGAGCACCAATACCAGTAGGGCTGCCACTAACGATTATTTTCATCGTCGACTAATCTGTCGATTATTTCTTCGATTAGTCGACTAATCATTTTATTGAAAAATGTGTTAAAATGTTGAAAAATGAGGGTCTGTCTCGCCCAAACCCCAAAATTACGTCATCTAATATCTTGTTTCGTACTCACGCCAAAGGGTTTTAGTTCACCGTCATGGGAGAGTGTGTAAAGCTGCCAATATCTGAACGTAAGAAGCTGCAGTAAGAGTATTTTGGGGTACTTTTATAGTGCTTTTCTATGAAAAATGACTCAAACCGACTAGTCACAGATTATTTTAATAGTTGATTAGTCATCGATTAGTCGACTAATCGTTGCAGCCCTAAATACCAGTGCCTTTTAGGGCAGTGGTTCCCAACTGCTGGGTCACAGTCCAAAATTGGTTCCTGGGTCCATTCTTAAAGGGCTGCAAGTGTTTCACAGAGGTGTCAAGTTTGAAAAAATCATTTTATTTTTAAGTGTAGGGAATTTCCAGCACAGAGCTTTTATTTTGAAGTGCCATTTCCTCCTGTAGAGTGACTAACGTCAGGTACTTGATAGAGACAGCAAACTAGCTTGATAGCATGGCCAAATTAAAGTATGATGCTGAATGTATTGACCTGTGTGGTCCTTGAACCTATGACTAAGTACAAATCTGGACCCTGTGGCTAGACCAGATGGGATCCGCTGTCTTAGGGGATAAAGATATCAATACACTCCTTAATTTGATAACTTTTTTTTGTTTCATCTACATTGCATCATGTGAATGAAAGTATTCAGTTGCATAAAATGCCAAAAACACTCCTCATCATCCAATATTTATTAGATAACTGTACGAACAATTCTGTCAAATACAAACAATACAAATACTGTACACTATGATTGACCTCACCATGATACAGGCTGAATGGGTTTCAGTTTGTGCGGTAGTGGGCCAATTACATGATGCATTAATTAAATTGAAGAATGCTTGCAGTGATTGGCTGCAAGTAAAACCATACAAATATTTGGGGGGGGGGTCGTAAAAGTAACACCCGCCAAGCGCCAATGGCAGGTAAAACATGAGTTTGGTGTGTAAGACAAATGCACACACCTGCCAGTGGCTGATGGAAAATGTTAAATTGCATGTGGGTTTTTATATGTGCTTCGACCATTTCTGCCAGCTGTGTCAGACTATTTTGACCATTGTGGCTTATTGTACTTGTGCCGGGAACGCATGACGTCAGCTACCGGAACTTGTTTCCCGGGCACTCTATGGTAACTTCTGAGCAAGATGTGGCAACACATTCCTGGTGTGAAGCCACCACCAGAAAAGAGGAAAAACGAAGATGAACATGTTAGACTTGGACAAGAAGAACAGACAGTTAAACGGAGTACAAATGTCGCACTGTGTTTTATTGAAAAATGGAAACTAGACGAGGCTGGCCAGCTGCAGTCATGGCTGACTTACAACCCCCACACCAACACGATGAGCTGCAGCCTTTGCCGCAAGGGCGCCAAAGAAACACAGAGGCAAAATCCCTTCGTTTTAGAAAGTATTAAAGACCATGAGAGTTCTAGATGCCACAGTGATTGCCTGAAAGCCTCTCAACCTGTTAACTCAACCCCTCTGGTAAAGTCAGTGACGGCAATACCCGACCCAACGAAAAGAAAAATGATGACCATGTTTAGGACCATTTGTGCCTTGGGAAAGAAGGGAAGGCCGATGGCGGACTTCGAGTGGCTCTGCAAGTAAGTGTTTTAGCTCTTCAGTCACTATGAAATTGTTGAGAACTGCTGAGTTTGAGTTAACGCCTTTAAGTGATGCTAAAGTTGGATTTTCATACTAAAAATGTAAGGTAATTATTTTTAGTCAAACAAGGCATAATTTTTTTATTTGGCTGGTAAATTTTTGGAGGTCACTAGCCAATGGCAGATGAGGTAAAAAGTTACGCCCTGTATGCAGGTATTGTTTGACTGGAGAAGTTTCAATACTACTTGGTACTGGGTTATTTGAGTACTGATACCCAGCCCTTGTGATAATTTCCAATTGGTTTTCTGGAAAGCACTGATTAACTAATCTGTAATTGTGGACCTATAAAATAAAGCATTAGTGGTTGGTGAATTTCTTGTGTAGCCTGCCTTGGTGACAACTTCAAAAACAGTTCACAAAGTCATTCAAAAAAAGTGCTGGCTTGATTGACAGGAGTCATAATAATCAGATTAATCTCTCAATTATTTTCTCATTCCTCCTTGCTCTACAAAAATGTCAGATAAAGATGCAGAATTGTCACCTGTCTGTATCTAAAATGCTGCACTCACAAACAAGATCACTTAGAGGCTCTCACTGCATTTTCACACCTCAGAGCTTCAGTGAAACCAGAGTGTGTTGAATTCTGGCCACTGAGCTCTACTGCCTTGGTCACCAACAGTTGGATAGTAGCCACAAAAAAAGGGCACCTACTTCTCTCCTGGATACTGCTGACAAAGGATTAACTGGAGAAAACTCCCAGGTCATGTTGCATCGGATTACCTCTTACAAAATCCTGAACTGTCTGGCATTCTTGAGGTCGTGTTTCTGTGCCGATAATCACTTGGAGAGCTCCAGTGGAATTTCCCATTGGCAGGCCCAGGAGCATCATCTGATCACAAAGACGCGCAGAGCCGCACATACACACCCTGGGTCTAAGGGTGGCTCCCTTGGTGCCAAGAGGCGCAGGCTTTTCCTGACACCAGCATAGCTACTGTGTCACAGAGTACACTTGGCGACGCGGACCGGCACATGACTCGTTTCTGTTTTTTCTCTCTTTCCGTCTCCCTTAAAACACACACACACACACACACACACACAAACACACCTCCTTATGGAATTCCCCGCCTACCAAGCTGCTGAGGCCTCTATTTATAAACGAAACCTTGGGTAGCACTGGTACTGACACACACCCCCACACACCATCTGACTTGACCTATGATAAACTCTGCTGATCTTAAATGTCATAAAGTGCAGTGTCACCATTTCCTGTCATTCCCTCATTTTAACTTCCCCACCCTCATCTCTCGTCGCTCACGTCATGCACTTGACTCGCTGTCTTAATGTCTTACCTGGTCTTCAGCACCTCATTCATCTTCTGCTCCAGGTCTATCCTTTTGCTTCGCTCTCGCTCTAGCTCCTGCCGCAGAGAGTCCACATTGGTCTCTTCCCGCAGCTTCCTCAGCTCCTCCTCTGGAAAACACAACACAAACGCTGGAGATCAGTATCTCAATGTTTTTATATGAAAACAGTGCAACCTGAAGAGCTCCGCGCACACATTCAGGGTCATGGAAAAGGCATTTGATGAGAATGAAAGGGGGAAATTTGAACTCTTTGTGGAACATTTCATCCACTATTTCAGATAAACCACCTGCAGACAATCTAATCTATAAAAAATTATGGGAAAACTGATGTTTTAGAAGAAATGCGTCTAAGCATATGTGTTTCTCTTGTTTTATCTCCCTCAGGCTATCTCCTTCACCTTCACCTTCACGTCCACTCCACTCTTCCTCCTTGTCAGTCAGCTGCTCACATTAAGAGGTTTCAGGTATCAGGGCTTTCTACGCCTGGGGTACAACATCAGCAGTGTTTCCTCTCAGTCTATTGTCCCCGACTAAAGGGACACATAAATATTGGAGGAGAGGAGGCAATAAAAGCGTGTACACGTGCAGAGATGAACGAATAAATTTATACATTTATGTACCCACAGAATAGGGCACAAAAACAAGAATGGGTAAAAGTGCAGCAGGGCTGTTGCAATAATGCAATATTGCAATACAGCGCTACTGACAAGTCAACTGCAGCAGATGGCAAGCAACCATCATAACCGCTATGTTCATGTTTCCTCTTTGTTTCATTAGGCGTCCATCATGTAATCACACAAAATGTGCGTTGCAAGGCGCCTTACATTTCTGCACTCTGGGCGCCTGGTGTTTTTGCCAGAGCGCTCTGAACTCCTTGAGTTGAAAAAACTTCAACCCCACGCCCTCTCTTTTTTTGTTATATTTTTGCCAATTGTCCCATCAGAAAATTTGAGAGGCGGGCAATCTGTGGTGGTCACGACAACATGTTTACAGTTGGTAAACAATGGAGGAGAAACTGGTGGTGGCGGTTGCTGGTTACCCAGAGCTACATGGCAATACGATAGACAGTTGGCTGTGAAACTGCCCCCGAGACATTCATTCCCTCATTGAGGAGAAGCTCCTGGACCAACTGGTGGTACTCCCCATGACCTACCCTCTTTTTAAAGGTCTCATGTATGTACCCACACAGATCTCCGTCTCCCTGTGCCCAACAAACTATTTATTGACAGCCTCTCAGCCTCAACCAGAGCTACAGCAAGTACCCTCTGCCTGAACAGATTAGGGACTAGATACTAATGACTGAGGAAACAAAAACAGTAGATTAATTACACAGGACGGTTAGTGTTAGGACGTCATGGGGTGGTTGCCTGGCAACAATAAAAAGGCACAGCAAGCATTTTTGTTTAGTTTTTTTACTAGTGGCATTCAATTTAAAAAAACAAACAAAAAAAGGCAGTGCGGTGCCCCTCACATTTTGCAACCTGCAAATTTCTTTCTGTGTGATTGGGGCCTTCAAACGCCAGCAGTGCAACACAACACTGAGTGTCTATTCTGCGCTGAGCACTGCATGTTTGCCATTTTTTTCTGCTTTCCGAGAGTTAAAAAATATTCAACTTTGGGTGAAATGCTGCAGTGGCTCGGCACTGTCATTTTTACCCAGCTGTCCAATCACAGTAAAAGAAGGACGGTACAAGTACCCCAAAGACCAACCGTCAAATCGCTGACAAACAACAACAATGGAGAAGAAATGAATACTGAACCCACTAAGACCAACAGGTCTGCCCCTTCTCCCTTCATGCTTCAACCTTCCCCTTATCCAGAGCAAGTGCTCTTTCTTCTGCCAACATTTTTACTTCCGCAGATATTCTGTATCATAGCAACCAGACACAACCAAAGCCCCTCAGGTGGAAAAACACTGTATCTCATTGCCCTTCTGTGTTCTGCATTCAAAAATGGAAATGTTACTTTGTTTTAAAACTGTGTCATCTTTGTCATTTAAAAAGCAACACTATACCTCATAGTAACCTGACAAAAAGCTTATTTATGAAGCACTAAAATTAGGATCAATGTGATTTGCATTTCATGCAGTTGAGCCAACCTTAATCAACACAGGAGAAATTCTGTCACCACAGCAGCCCTAAAGCACATTTTTAATCCTTCTCCAAACACACATATTTGCATCCTCATATATAGAAAAACCTGAACCTGCTTTTTTATTGCCAGCAGACTCTCCTTAGGAACAGAACTTGCTGTTGTACCACTTTATTGGAAACACTATCATACTGAGGATTAACAGGAAATTGTACAGCATGACAACACTACATGGTATTAAAAGCAAAGTGGTGCCACTCAACATCAAGATCAACATCTCTCCAACCTAAAACCCAGAAACATCACCTGACCTAGTGGTACCCTTAAACTTTGAAGGGAAAGGGAGGAGAGTGATAAAAGCAGTTACACAATGTATATCACCTGATCCCCTCCTCTTCTTCCTGAGATCATTTCATCACGCAGACAGCAGAGGATTCATATTACCAGAGTTCAGCTGCCAGTTTCTCTTTCTCATCACCCAATCTCATATCTCACTTGTCCTTTATCTCTTCCCATTAACACTAATAAAACATTCAGTGGAAGCACCTCCTGCAGCCAAAGCATCGGCAACAACACTGGGTGCTCTAACTAGGAAAACATACACTGGATCTCTGTTTCCCACGTATAGCAATCCACTTAGCTTAGTATAGTATAATCTCCTGTGCATTTCTGGTATAAGAGCAGTAAGACATATTCTGGTCGCCACTTAGAAAACCTTATGCACTGGGAGAGGAAACCATAACACCTTACTTCATCTATGTAACATGACTCCTCTCATACACTTTCACCCGTCCACCAGCTCAGCGTTGCCTGTCTCCCTATTTGCTAACCTAAGAATGTGTTTATGATACAGCATTATATATGTAAACAAGACAGAGAGAGTGGGTGCGTAAGAGTAAGCAAGAGGCCGGCCAAAGGTTGCTAAGCAGCTTAAGACTGGTTGGGTTGCCCTGTGCCAGGAGATCCACAGGCAACTGTAAACCTATTAGACAAATGACTAACAACAGCAGTGATGCACCCTGGGTGGTGTAGGCAGAACTAGATCAGTGTTGTACGCTGTACTGAATGTACCGCTTAACAGCAATAGATGAGACTTGAAAGTCTCACTTGAAAGACAAGATTACTTAACATTTTGGCCTTTCTGTCAAACAAAGTGCCTAAAATAGACTTACTACTGGTTATAAATGAGAATCAAGAGAGACAGGAACACAGTGATACTCAGAGAGGCACTTGGGGACAGCACAATACGCTGTAAACATCATCTGTTCCAGTGGTTCTCAACCAGGAGTCTGGGGACACCAAGGACTCCTTGAGGGCATTCCAGGGTGTCTCCAGAAAAATAGGCAATAGTTTATTTTCAATTTCTTAATTCACTATAGCAGGGATCCCAATGTGACTAAGAGTCATAAGAGTGAATATTCTGATTGAAGGTTTCACTTCCTCTGATGATATCTCCTCACTGTAACTGACAACTATAGAACTGGTTGGAATCATATCATTGGGCTTGCTACTCAAAAAATGAAACTGCTCATTACTTGGCATGTTTTTCAAATGTTAAATTCATCCCTTATTTATTATTCCAGGCCAACAGTAATTCATCACACACTACTTGTATATAACTTTTATGTTACACAAAAAACTGGTGATTGCGACCTTTCAACTCAAAAAGGTAATCTCCCGCGTGCACAGCTAAGGCTAGATAGCTCAAAATTATTTTTGGCCTTGGAGACTTCTGATGCCTTTGACCAGTATTTTCCCAAGAATCTGTCTGAAAGACAAAGGGTCAAAGACAAAGAGAAAGAATCATTAGTTTAGCTTCATTAGTTCTTTGTTACTTGTAGCCTGCTGTTCATGACTAAAACACAGTTTTGCTTGTTAAGCCGGTGTAGGGCTACAGCCAACCTCTGCGGCCAGAGGGTTTACCTTTGGTTGGGTGTTTCAGGAAGTTTGAGATTGTGTTTTTATGCAGTGGAATCAGTCTTACTACCACTACTTGCAACATCCACGTTCTTGTCATCTTTCCATCCAACAAAAACAAAGTAACTGGAAAATATCCAGCCGCTGAATGTACGTTTCAATCTCTCAAGCTAGCTTGCTGCTAAGTAACGTGCATGCACAACAATTCTGGAAATGAACCCTGGGATTGTTTGACTGTTAAGATTTCAGTAGGGGTGACAACAAAATCAGGTTGATATGAGTTATTTGTTTCTGGGCTGGCTGTAACAGTATTGCCAAATTTGTATTAGAAATTCGTTACACTTCTTTTACTGGGAAAGGTAATGTTGTGGCAATTTTTTGCCGATCTGCTTGGGAGTCAGCAAGTAAGGCTGAATAGCTTTGCGCATGAGAGTTTATTCTCTATAGAGAAGGCGCATCCTCAGGCTCAGAGCTCAGAGTTTGTGCCCAGAACAGTGAACACAGGGTATCTTTATACCTGCACTCAGACGACAAGATAATGAGAAATCAATTGTAGCTTTCTTGGGCCTTCCTGATTTAATTATGTTCTCTTGATTACACCAGAGGAACATACCTGTTGCAATCTAGTATATAACATGTTAGGTAATCGGCTGTATCTGTTAGATAGTCAATGGACTGTCTTTAAAGGCGAGATTATAGTGAATGTAAATCTCTTGATGATGTCAAGTAACGACAGATGTTTACAAAAGGGGAATGCAAAGTTCACACACTTACAAACACATAGGAAGAATGAAACAATACAAGCATATGCATGAAGAAGACAAAATTTCCACCACAGTAATTACTGCCAAACAATGTAACAACCAAAATCTTTTGTGATGGAGGTCACTGAAACTAAATCTTATCACATGGGGGTCCCTGACTTAATGTGTATCAATTTTGGCGGTCCTTAACAAAAAAAAGGTTGAGAACCACTGATCTATTCCACCCACTCCTTTGGGAATTAGCTGCTAACTTTCATTTAGTGCCGGGCAGATTGTGTAAAGGCGGGGTGGGGGTGGGGGGTGGGTGGGGACTGTTGAAAATGCAGGTGGGAACAAG